ATTAATAGTAATAAAAAAATTAAGAATTAATTTTTTTTAATGAAATCTACGCGGAAAATTTTTAAACGGACATTTTTATTATATTTTTATTATATTTTTATTATATTAAGGTTTGTGCAAGGTTGATTCAATGTTCCTCAATATTATTGCAATATTGACATTGTTGCAATTCAACATCTTCTCAACATTGATTTAACATTATTGTTGTGTATGGGAAAACGTGATAGGGATTCAATAGTATAACCTGATGAGGATATTATAATGAACCAGATTAAGGCCTTCATAACGACGCAGTCGGCGGTGAAGAGCTGTTTTATAATAAGTAAAAAGAGAGAGTTGAGAGAGAGAGAGAGAGAGAGGAGAGAGAGGAAGAGAGAGAGAGAGAGAGAGAGAGAGAGAGCAACGCGTCGTGATCGCGGGCGAACGTGTATCAATCTCGTATTCAGCTCGTAAAATTATACGATATTTTCGTAAATAGTAAAGGTCCTTGTTCTTTTAAAAAACGAGTTAATTTATGTTCCCGTGCGCGAGCGCAAGTGCAAAATAAAACAGGGAATGTGGAGAAAGAATGAAAATTTGCAAGTTTTTAAAATGTTGTTAGTAAATAGATTGAGATACAACAGTACAAGGAGTATTTTCTTACGGAAAAAACTACAAGTAAACACGTAAAATCTACTTAAATCTACGTAAATCTTACATGCTATTGAAAAATTTTAGTTTTTTAATAGCATATGCCGGGTAATTTTTTCGTATTCCTATATTTTTTTTTCGCAAAGATGCACTCGAAATAGGCTGATAAATAGGCAATATTTAAGAATTTGGTAAATAAATTGTCCTCGCTGCATCTGCTTGACTCTTGGTCTGAAAGATATACAGTTTATTGCGTATTGCATTTTTCTAAAATCTACTAGCAATTTTGAATTCATCTTAAATTTTCTGTTATCTGCGATCATTATACAGAGGTTAACATTACTAATCGACTTTCTCTATCATTCAACGTATAAGATTTAAAGTAACATTATCGAGAAGTTCATAACATATAAGACGTACGTTATCTTTTACTGGAAAGTATCAGAATTACTTAAAAAAAAAATATATATATATTTTTATATAATATTTTATTTAATATATATATATATATATATATATATATATATATATATATTTATTTATTTATCTCGGAAAATATCTACTTTTAAATTATTTTACTCCAACACTTCTATACACGAAATAACCAGAGGAATCAATTTATATTAAAAAAGCACATATTATTACTCTATTTAAAAAATTCATGTGAATAGCATCATTAAACGTCCCCTTGAAACGATATTAATTTTGTTTGCAACATTTTTCAATGAAACTCTTGGTTTTCGAAAATGTGTAATACGCGCATTACGTGTACAACGTTTGCGCGCAAGAGTATATAAAAGCAACATGCTGTTTTGGGATGCTTTTATGCATTTCATGTATTCGTATATTACTATCAATATGTTTTGATTAAAAGACAACAACAATAAGACAACAAGAACATAAAAGAAAGAAAGAGCTGTTATATATATTCTTTATTATAAATATCCATAAATATCCATAATTCATAAAATTTAGATTATATATTATAAAAATATTCACAATTCAGGAGGGCAATCTGTCTTTTGTATATTTTGTATTAATGTTATCTAAGAGATATGGCAGTCGCATAAGAAAGCTTCAAATCATTTAGAATGGTTTTCATGAAGGATATAAATCCCGATACACAGTTATATGCGAATTACGATAACCAATACCATCATTGTATAATTGTGTGCATGGATAAAGAGACTTGAAATTGTTTGGTCCATTATATATAGGATTTATATTTAGAATCTTTCGTATGATTTTTATGTTCTCTTCCGCTACAGATTGCGATGTGGCTGTTAGAATACACGGACAGTTCATACGCTGTGATGTCAATAAGCTATCTTCTTGCCATGTGTTTGTTGTATCAAAATATGCTTGAAATATTATAATCACATTTGGTTGCTGAAACGTTGGATCACTCGTATACTCGTGATAAAATCCAGGACGGCTCACGACACTAATCCTCTGAATTTGAGACTTGCAGTCATCACAACTTTTCAAATTTATATTTTGAGTTTTTAATTCTTCTCCTATTAGTACAACTGTTAGCTCCTTTATTTCGCATAAAACATGCTGAAGAAGTTCCCAAGCCTTTATATATTTATTTTCAATGGAGTTTGCTGATATTACGTGAATAACAAATTGAGGTCCTACCATATTTGGAAGATTTAATAACTGCGATTTTTTCATACCATCATACAGCGTAAATGGTCCTGATACATAATCGGAACAGAAATATGCAAATTTTGTAAAAATTCGATTAGAAGGACCCAAATCCCTATAAGAAGAGTGCACACAATTGGAAACAAACTTATTCATGTCTTCAAGAGGTTTCGATCCATTAGGAAATGTAATTAATTGTTGAAATTCTGTAGGTATGACACTTAAGATATCTAGGTTAAGTTTTAACAGCAACTTCTCACATTTTGATGCGTGATTGATGTCAAAATCTTGCTTATGATTATAGCAGTAGTAGTCGGAATAGCATTTTTTACAGTAATTTATCTGAATCTGTTTATGACATATATAACACGATCTTGCGAAAATGATCATTTGTATTTCGTACGGTTCCAAACTATGTGGAAGCTGTTGCATGATTACGCGTAAAAATTCTCTTCTTGATTCAATCCATTTGACCGTTTCTAATTGACGAAGGCGCCATGTTATGTTACCGCTCTGTCTTAAATATTTTGTAATATATATGCAAAATTGCTGGTGCTGCTTAAAATGCATGTTTCTATGTGGTATACCGCAGTAAGAGATCATGTAACAGTTATGGCAAAATATCAGTTTTTCTTTTACTATTTTGCAAACGTGACAGATATTTGGATGAAAGAAATTATTATAGTTATAATCGGCGTTTATCCACAAACTATCATTGTACAATTTTTGCACATCCGCATTAATCTCCATGCCAGTATATTTTGTTTGCCTGAAGATAAGGGATACTTTTTTATAATTTGAATTTAGAAGTGATTTTTGTGTGAGATACGATACCTGAGCAAAAATAAAATAGTTTTCTTTACACGGTTTAGATGTATATTTGGTGACTGTTTCCCGAACACTGAGAAGCTGCTCGCAAGTTTCCTTAAATGTCACGAATATAGTTGGTACACAAATGTAGTTGGCAAATAGTATACAAAGTTATAATTGCCTACGTATATCTGTTCGCAAGTAGAATATTGCGCATAATCACATATGGAATTCTTAAACAATCTATCACTTGTATATTGTATTCCCTAAATAAATAAAGCAAAAATATAATAATATAATAAATATATAATATAAATGAAATAAAATTAAAATATTGGGAATACGAATTAGTTCGGTCCGTTTTTTATGGTCAAAATGCATTTATTTTAGAACAAAATAATTGAACAGATTAATCAAAGTATTGTCCATCGCTGGCTACTACTTTTTCCCACCTCTCAGGCAATTTTCGAATTTCATCTCGAAAAAATGTCCCGTCTTTTGAGGCGATCCAAGTTAGGAGCCAATTTTCGATTTCTGCGAAAGAAGTGAACCGCTGACCTGCCAAATCGTGCTACATCCGTCGGAACAACCAGTAATCAGAAGGAGCAATATCCGGCGAATACGGCGGGTGCGGTAAAATATCCCACTTGAGCGTTTCCAAATAATTTTTTACGACTTTTGCGACATGAGGCCGAGCGTTATCATGCAGAAGAATAACTTTGTCATGTCTTTGCTCGTATTCCGGCCGTTTTTCTCGTAATGCACGGCTCAAACGAATCAATTGTTGCGTAACTCCCAATGATTCTGCAAGCTCCTCTTGCGTTTAACTCGGATCTTCATCGAGTAATGCCTCCAATTCTTTGTCTTCGAATTTTTTTGGCTGTCCAGAGCGAGGCTTGTCTTCAACGCTGAAATCACCATTCTTGAAATGTCGAAACCATTCCCTACATGATTTATCAGTTGGAGCATTGTCACCATAAACTTCTACAAGCATTCGATGCGCTTCAGCTGCACTTTTCTTCCAATTAAAGCAGAAAACTAAAACCTCCCGCAAATGCTGCTTTAACACAAAATTTGACATATTCAACACAGTAAAAAACAGGGGTTTTGTATGAAACTCAAAGCGATATAAACTGAATATTATTGACAGATGTCTAACCTCTCTGAAACCACCGAAATCAGCTGTCACTATGAAACATTCATAACAGCCAGAGCCATCTTTTTTAAACGGACCGAACTAATTTGTACTCTCAATAAAATAAACTCAATTCTCTAATAATTAAAAAAAAAGATAATGTAACATAAGAGTAACATTTTCTTTTAATAAGAATTTGAAAATATTACAAATTTAGAGAAAGAGAAGAGATTCAGCTTCGCTTATTAATTATAATAATCAGTAGTCTAGTGTCATAATGAATAAAAGAAACTCTCTGATAAATGGTTAACGAAACATAAATAATCCATGAAAACAATCAAATTAACATAAAATCACAGGAAATCATATTAAGTTTAACTTATTAATTAAATTTTTTTCAATTTTTTCCTTTTATTCATTAATTTTCCTTTTATTCATTAGTAAATACATTAATCACAGTTGTCTAATGACAAAGTGGAAAAAGACGCTTCTTATACCACATGATTCGTGTGTCCAGTTTTGACAAATATTATATTGGTACCAACCTTCAACACTACCTGAACATTTATTTTTACAAATGCTGAAAGGGATGTTCCTTTCATAAATTTTTGTTGTGTCCCTTTCAAGAATATGACATTCAAACAAGAAATATAACCTCTACAAATGCAATATTCAACAAATGTAACCTATTATCCCATTATTAATTATTTTATCTAAATTTTATTTATTGGTAATTTTTTATTTCTTGGTCGATATATATTTATTTGCACTATTACGTGACTTCAACTATATTAATAGTATAGTCTAACAGAGCGTTTTCTTAAAGCGCAGCATACTTTACTTTGACACATGAAGGAACTCACTCAGCTGTTATCGTCATCTTATATGGGATCTGCTTTATTTTGCTGAACTGGCGGTACTAGTTCACTCTCATTTTTCTTCTACTAAATTTTATCTGTAGATATGTCTCTTTTTAAGTTTCGAAAGTGCAGCTTAGCAATAGAAAAACATACCTATAAAATAACAGTGATGTAAAAATAAGCGCGATTAATCAGTCACAATAATAAATTATTTTTTTTGTTCGAATACCATTTTTCAATAATTGCAACACCCCTTTTTTACGCGCCATTTTTAAAGCACTTTCTCCCTCTATATTGAATTCGGTAATTTAAGTTTTATTAAGTTTTATTATTTTATTTACATCGTTATTAATTAACCTACATTTTTAATCTACCTTATTAACCTACTTTATTAATCTACATCGTTTGTGAAATTAAATATATTATAATTTTAAGACTAACTTTTAACCACTACACTTTTATCAAAAAAGTGTTTATATCTATCTTCAAACAAAGCAATATTCATTTTGTAACCGTTCGCACTTTTCGTGCAGAACGTGATGGATAATTGTGCGGCATTTAGAGTTTGTAATTTTTCGCGCAATTCAAAGTCCATTCCGCATTGACCGTACAAAAATAAGTCTGTAAATTGTACGCTACACAACAACAAAAAAGAAAAAGTAGTTGAATAAGATCTTTATTAGAAACATTCATAAATCATACAAAATAAATCATATAAAAATATTCATAATTCATGAAGACCATGTATCTTTTGTTTTTTTTATAATAATACGAGTGATATCGAAATTGCATAAAAGAGCTTCAAATTGTTTAAAATAGTTTTTATAGAGAATATGAACTTCAATATATAGTTACATACGAATTACGATAACCGACACAATCAGTGTGCAACTGTCTGAATGGATAAAGAGACTTAAAATTGTTTGGTCCATCATATTTAGGATTTATATTTAGCATCTTTCGTATGATTTTTATGTTCTCTTCCGCTATAGATTGCGACACAGCTGTCAGAATATATGGACATTTCATGCGATGTGATGTCAATAAGCTATCTTCTTGCCATAAGGTTGTTTTATTAAAATGTGCTTGAAACATTATGATCACATTTGGTTGCTGAAACGTTGGATCAGTCCTGTACTCGGGGTAAGATCCAGGACGACATACAACTTTAACCTTCTGATTTTGGCACTTGCAGCTATCACAACTTTCCAAATTCATATTTCGAGTTTTCAATTCTTTTCCTATCAGTACAACTGTTAGCTCCTTTATCTGACATAAAACATGCTGGAGAAGTTCCCAAGCCTTTACATATTTATTTTCAATGGAGTTTGCTGAAATTACGTGAATAACAAATTGAGGTCCCACCATATTTGGAAGATCTAATAACTGCGATTTTCTCATACTATCATACAGCGTGAATGGTCCTGATACGTAATCGGAACAGAAATATGCGAATTTTGTAATAATTTGTTTATGACCTAAACTCCTATAAGAACAGTGCACACAATTGAAAACAAACTCATTCATGTCTTCAAAAGGTTCCGATCCATTAGGAAATGTAATTAATTGTTGAAATTCTACAGGTATGATATATAAGATATCTAGGTTAAGTCTTAACCGCAACTCCTTGCATTTTAAATTGTGATTTTGCTTAAAATCTAGGCGATGAGATTCGCAGTAGTTGACGGAATAGCATTTTCTACAGTGAGTTAATTTAATCTGTTGATGACAAATACAACACTTTCTTGCGAAAATGATCATTTGCTTTTCGTACGGCTCCAGACTACGTGGAAACTGTTGCGTGATTACGCGCAAAAATGTTCTTCTTGACTCAATCCATTCGGATGTTTCTGAACGACGTCCCTTGTTGTCGTTCTGTTTTAAATATTCTGTTATATATGCGCAAAATTGCTGATGTTGTTTAAAATGTACTTCTCTATGACTGTTACTGCAGTAAGTGATCATGTGACAATTAGTGCAATTTATTAGAGGTCTTTTTTCTATTTTACAAACGTGGCAAATGTTTGGATTGAAGAAATTGTTATAATTATGATTGCAGTTCATCCAAGAACTATCAGTGCACAATTTTTGCACATCCATATTAATGTCCGAATCCATGCCAGTATATTTTGTTTGCTTGAAGATAATAGATACTTTTTTGTAATTTGAATTTGGAAATAATTTTTGTGTGAAATATGATACTTGAGCAAGCGTAAATTACTTCTCTTTACACAGTGCAGATATATAGTTGGCGAATGTTTTGCGAACACTGAGAAACTGTTTGCAAATCTCCTTCAATGTCACGAATATAGTTGACAATCTAAATGGTACACAAAGTTATAATATCCTATATAATATTCGTTCGCAAATAGAATAATGACATAATAGGATAAATACATACGAAATTCTTGAATAATCTATTAGTTCTATATTCTATGATCTATTAGTTTTGTATTCTATGATTCCCTAAGGCTGGATTCCACAAACATCGTTTGACCTTGATCTGATTTTAAGTCTTTGTTTCAATTAGTTTAAAGATGGCTTAAGGCTTGATCAACATTGGTGGAATTGAGTCTAAACAAATAAAACATAAATATAATAATATAATAAATATATAAATTTTAAATGAAATAAAATTTGTTAGCAAAAGAAACTCTATTAACAATTTTCTGCATTATTTGAAATTATAGTAAAATTAGAAGGAATTTTCTATTAAAAATAAAAGGTATATTAAATTTTTTTTGGATAGAGAATCAATGAGACTAGGTGAAAGATATGAAAAGAAAATGTGTAGGTGCATGGATGGGATTTCAAAGATGGAGCCGCGACTATAAATTTATGACAATTGACACGTATATTTTTGAAATACATGCATGATAGTGTACTCGAGTGTTTTGTATTTCTGTTTCTTTTGTTTATGGTTACAAATTGTTCCTAGTTCTTTTTTTATTACATTCTTTTATTTATGTTACGTTGCCTCTCTAATTTTTCCTTTCTCAATTCCTCTGGCGCACGCAGGCGCCTCTCCCCACTTTATCTCCCGCGTATTTTCTATCAAGATATCTTTTTTATTGTATATTAAAGAAAAACCTATTAACTTGTATATATACACGAGTCGCCTTCTATGTGCATATCAAATTTATATACAGGATGTCCGGTAACTGATCGAGCAATCGCCGTATACGGGTAGAACGAGTCAAAATGATCATAAAAGTTACATATCATTTTGAAATTTTCTCAATATTTATTCCGTAATTAATTAAAATGTATAAACAAATGAGTTTATGAGAAGCGATAGGACAGGCTCTGTGTGTAAAAGAAATGGCTTACCTCTTAGCAACGATGAGTAAACAGCTGATTTCGAGGCGGAGTAACGTATACATGTCGCTTGTTATTATTCTTCTCTCTCATTTAGTAAGTCCTTTGTGTAATTAATAACAATCAACGCGGTATTTGGATTTTTACCTAAATACTAATTTTACCGCAAATTTATATTCGATGACTTGTATGTATAGTCTGTAAAGTAAGAGCGTGGTCGAGTTAATTTATAAATAAAATGAATAAACAAGATTTTCAAATATATATATGCATTGTACTCAATCAGAACAAAGATGCAATTATATTAATAATGCGTCCAATCACTACTGGCGTCGATAATTGTCTGGCATCTTCGCAGCATACTTTCGACCAAATTTGCCTATTGAGCCACGTTCCAGTAAATCATCGACATTTTTTACCATTGTATCGGTGCATCCACTTCTGTACGAATACTTTTGATTTTCTCATTTATTTAGCAGCCGCTAATTGCGACATTTTTGGATCTTTCGGGTGGACGCAAAGGACTAAAGATGTCCGCCTAGCTGGCTCCCCTACTTAATACAAAATGAACACAGACGATATATAATAATGCGCTATTTATGCGCTCTTCGAAAATGAAACTAACAAATTTTGCGCTGTTTTAGTTACGATAAAATAAAATTTTTTTAGTGAATAGATTTCTCTCTTGACGCGGTGAACATAATCGCCAGAAAACTTTTTAAAAATAAAAAAAATCGCTAAATCAATTATATACGGTGAATCTACGATTTATGCGCTCTTATATCTAAGCAATTTCGACTTTTGCGTTGCAACTCTTAAGGGACTTTTATCTTGTTGCGAAATCGTCTTGAAATCGTCTTGAAATTCCCTTAAAATGAAAGAGATCATTAAACCACTTATGAAAGATTAATCTACGATTTATGCGTTGCTATATCCAAGAAAATCGAAATTGCCTGGACATAAGAGCGCATAAATCGTAGATTCATCGTATATAATTGATTTAAGGATCTCTTTCGTTTTAAGGAGAATTTTATGGTGATTATGTTTTTCGCGTCAAGGGAGAAGCCCCTTAAAGGTTGCAACGCAAAAATCGAATTTACCTGAGTATAAGAGCGCATAATTAGCGCATAATTCCTACCTATTTGTTCCTATCTACCTATTCCTACCTATTGAGAGAAATAAAAGATTTAGTCTGGCTTATTAACTATAATAATCAGTTGTCTAATGGCACAATGAATAAAAGAAATTCTCTAATATTTAACAAAACATAAATAATTCATGAAAACTATCAAATTAACATAAAATCGCAGGAAACCATATTAATGGTTAATATTAAGGAAACCATAATTTTAACTTATTAATTAGTTTAACTTATTAATTAAATTCTTTTTCTTTTGTTTTCTTTTAATCATTAGATAGATACATTAATCACAATTGCTTAATGGCAAAGTCGAGAAAGAGGCTTCTTATATGATTCGTGTACTCAATTCTGACAAATCTTATATTGGTATCAATCTTCAACACTATCTAAATATTTATTTTTACAAATGCTAAAAAGAACGTTTTTTCATAAATTTTTGTTGTGTCCTTTCCAAAAATTTGACATTCAAACAAGAAATATAACCTCTACAAATGCAATGAAAAACAAATATTACCTGTCATCCCATTATTAATTATTTTATCTAAATTTTATTTATTAGTAATTTTCTATTTCTTGATCGATATATACATGGTTTGTCCGGGAAGTAATGAGACTGATTTTCTTGGGCTAATCAGAAGGGTCGGGGGACAGAGTCCCCGGGCATGACGGTTGGTGGAGAATGTCAGGTAAATGGTCCGATCCAGCTCGGTTGTTTCTGAGCCTTTACAGAGTACAGATCGCTTGCGAAGTGGACAGCTGTTTGAGCATCACGGGTCAAAATGTAGCGCAGTGTCGATCAGCAATACGTGATAAAGTTTTGCGTTAAACTCGAAAAATCTGCGACTGAGACGCTTGCTATGATAGAGAAAGCACACGGGAAGGATGCTTTCTCAAAAGGACAAGTGTTTAGGTGACTCATCCTCGATGTACTCTCTTCCTTCTCTGAACGCTTTGTGCCACCTAAACATTTGTACTTTCAATAAAGCATCCTTCCCGTATGCTTTTTCTATCATAGCAAGCGTCTCAGTCGCAGATTTTTCGAGTTTAACGCAAAACTTTATCACGTATTGATGATCGACACTGCGCTGTATTTTGACCCATGACGCGACGCTCAAACAGCTGTCCACTTCGTAAGCGATCTGTACTCTGTAAAGGCTCAGAGACAATCGAGCTGGGTCGGACCGTTTACCTGACATTTCCCACCAACCGTCATGCCTGGGGACTCTGTCCCCCGACCCTTCTGATTGGCTCAAGAAAATCAGTCTCATTACTTAATAAACCAAACCAATGATATCATCTTATGTCCCTCTCGAAATCCCAAAACTTTTATCTGAAACATTTTTCCCTAAAATGCACTGTTCAAGAGATATTTGAGGTAATCGATTAAAATGAGACACCCTGTATATGCAGAGTGTCTGACCGTACTGTACCAGAGCTAGCATAAAGCTAGAATAAGTCAGGATGAGTAATGGAATGAGTATCTTTTTTTAAACAACCACATAATATTTTGAGATATTAACGATAAAAAATTTCTATCGAGCGGCAACCCACTAGCCAATCAGCACGTGTGCTGCAGTGAAACGAACGCTGTGCGCGTTGTAGCATCAGCACGCCAGGCTAGCCGGGCCAGCCTCCTAACGAGGAAAACGCGTTGCCAGCAGAAAAATTATTAACAAAGTTGCATAAAATAAAAGTAATTTTTGGACACCATATATACAAAAACACCGAATTTGTAAGCTAGCAAGATACTTGCTACACACACACACGCGCACGCACACACGCACACACACGCGCGCGCGCTGCTCGCGTTGTGTGCGTGTGTTCCTATTATATTTGAAGTTTCATAAATAGAAAATAATAAAAATAAAAAAGTGATCGTCCGTAAGACTGAGAAGCTACACCCCCCAGACCCTCGCACCGCTGCACTTTTGTGAGAAATTCTCACTCTTTAGCTTAAGTATAATAGACTTGGCCTCCCCCCTCGCGATGCGGGCGGTCTGGGGGGCGTAGCCCCCCTGTTAAACGGCTAGGAACAGACACCATACATACTACATTTAATATACTCTATTAATGTATCTTGATATTAATGTATTTTTTTTTGTGAATAACTTTTTAACAAACAATGAGCGACAGTTAAAACTTTTTGCACGTTACTCAGCAGAAATCTATGAAATCTGTGAGGTCGCCATTATTATGCATAATTACCACTATCAGTTAACTTACCAAGAAGATGGACTAACCGACTTCTAATGATGTAAACAGACAACGAATTTTTTCGTACGAACCACAGCGTTATTTTACTAAGTATATTGCGTGCATATCACATATGATACATTTGTGAAAGTGTGGAAATGCTCCGGATACGATGTTTATTGTGATATGTAATACGTAAATACAATCGAAGTAAATATTTATAATTTAGGTAGTACATAATGTTGATGTTTAATTGAATGAAATTCAATTAAACGTTATTTCTCTTTTTCATACAACTTTATTTTTGTTTCGTGTGAACATATATTATTATACAGGGTGAATATTATGTACCGGAACACCTGAATATCTCGAAAACAAAGCGTTGTATAAAAAAATGTTAAATACAAAAGTTGTAGGGTTTAAAAAGATCTATTTTGTGATATTAGCAGTTTGACCTTGAGTTGCGTCATAAAGATCAGGTCAAGGTCACAATGATGTTTTTAAATAGATACCCCCATTTTTTATTGTATATTCTTGTAGCTTATCTCGAGAGCTTTCCAAAACACTATACTTAAGTATTTTTTCGTTAAG